AATCCAAAAAATCCACACTCAAACTTGCCCAAATAATCGTTCGTAAGTGATATGTTAGCCCAATGTTTGACAAGTTCCCGGTTACGAACCAGTTGCATAAGGTGACCTAGAATCAAGCGGGGGTTTTATTATAGCCTATCCTCATGTTCCAAATAAAAGGAATTTTTTCGTGTTCTATCTGACGTATTTTCTATAAATACTCGTCAAATTGCCTCGATCCAGTTATCCGTTTAAGACAATTCGTAAAAATACCCTTTTCTTATGAGAAATTGCTAAAGATACATGTTAGCTTTGAGATGATTGTACATCAACGCCAAGAAGGAAAATCTGATTTACTCAGACGATATATCATGATTATACATATTTTTTTTTTATAATACTAATGAAGAAAGCAATACGCGGGACAGACCAGATTAGTGGGATGGTGGTAATTGGCAACTTTTTTATTTTTATGTCAACTAAAGCCTTACTAATCGCCAGGAAAAAGCTATGTTATCAATTTAAAACCTATATTTGCTTACCGGGGGACTTAGAAAATGTGATAAGCGATTACGAATACGAAACTATCTTAGGTTACTTAGCTCATACTACTAAAAACTATTTGTCTAATTGAATTTTTGAAACCTTAGGGTAGGAAAAATATACCCCTAAACTTGTCTCACTGAGAAACTTAGAAAAAAAGATAAGTGATTGAGAATTCCAGACTCGCCCATACTGCTTAAACTTCTCCTAATATTTGTCTTATAAAAGAAGATACAATTATTTATGGAGAATTAATTGGCCTATTCATTTTGTTATCTTGTGAATTAAAATTTGTTTCACTAAACAGTTGAGAATACGAGACGAGCCAAAGCAAATTTGTATTGCTCTTACATCTGTTTCTAAAAATAATTGGCATTTATACACTCTTTTTTTAAAAGAAAAATATTTATAGAGAGAATATCGAAGCTGAAATTTGCGAAATTTTTAGAGTGTTTTAAGAACTAGGGGTACCTTCCGGCAAGTGCCAACGAGGCGAATTCGTTTATCTTTTGTGAAATGTGCCTATTCAGATCTTCGCGATATATATATATATATATATATATTTTTCATAATTTTAGAGGTTTAAAATGGATTCCGCCATAGAAAAGGATGGCACCCAACTTCACAACAACAACTTTGGCACATTGTAGGCTTTCACTTTTTAATTATTAAACAATAACAACATGGCTTGAAGCTTTGTTGGTAAATATGAGCAGGTTAGTACTTATGTTTCATGAAAAATTCAATTGTATCAAAACTATAAACGTTAGAAAGAAAAAGATAGTTCAAATGAGGCCTTTGACTGTTGAAATTATAAACAATAATGAAATTCCGAGCAACAGCGTCATCAGGGATAAGAAATTAAAATGTTTCGCGTGGTAATATACCTAGGAAAAAATTGGTCTAAAGTAAAATGTGTGAAAAGCACAAGAATGGGACGGAATGTATCAGAGGTATAAAAATATAAACTTGAATAAAATACAAAGATCTAATTAGCGAATGTCACAGGACAAAGAGTATATTGAAAGGCATAATCAGAGTCTTCAAAACAAAAGGTCCGCAAATTCGTTGCATTCCTCACGGGAGTTTTGGGCTGTCTCGATGTAAATCGAGCAACAAAAAAACATGCTGGTTTACAAATTCTAAAATAAAAGGTCCGCAAATACGTTGCATTTCTCACGGGAGGTGAGGACTGGCTCAATGTAAATCAACCTGCGAAGAACACGCTGGTTCTGATAAAAGTTTTGAGAATATAACCCTATATGCCTTGATCAACTACCGCTTAAAATTCAATTCACAAAGGAAAAGAGAACACTGAAAACCCTGGTTCTGAGTCAAGAAGCAAACACGCTACTTCAATGTAAATCGAGCTGCAAAGAACAAGCTGGTTCTCTCAAAATTTGAGCATAAAACCCTATTTTTTAAAGCTGCTGCTTTAAACGCAATTTATAAAGCAAACCAGAGCACTGAATTGCCCTTTCAAACTAGAAATGGTATTAAAGCTTGCTCACCTGTTAGGTCCTCTTGAACAGACAACGAACAGCTGTAGACCACGAGTTGTAAATATAAGACCATGACGTCACTACCCAAATATGGGGTCTTACTTACACCCAAATATGGTCAAAAATGCAAATTTTAGAGGGTTACGCAGAATTTGAGAGTTTTTGCCTACATTGCGCGGCGTTATAATTCTGCCGCCGAGTCAACCTCGCTTCTTAGCTCGGTTGCCTCGTTGGCAATAAACCCGAGGGTGAGATTTTGGAAAGAATATAAATTTGTGTTCTGAATCATTGCTTCCTCTCAGCGGCAAGACTATCCAACAAAACGAAGAAATCTGCACAACTATAGCGAAATGTCCAATGCTAATGACAGTTCGACGAACGGACCACATTATTAAAAAAATAAAAAAAAAATGCTATGCAGCACAAAAGAAATAAACAAACGGCAAAAAGTACATAACAAATTCTTTCCATTCTAAAAATAAGAATAATACAAGAATAAAATCGGCGGAAAAAATAAGAACATTCAGTCTGGGCCGGAAAACAACATTCTTGTGTGAAAAAGGAGTGTATCGTTACATTTTTTGTCCAGTGAAGTTAAATTCAACCTGAGACGAATTTGGTTTATTTCTTATTGCTACTAACGGACTGAAGAAGCGAGAATCCTCAACACTACAACAGTAATTCTATAGTCTATCAAAACTTGTAAAATCGATAAAGCATTTAGTGCCTTTTCCATTCGTTTATCGTTTATTTAGAAAACATTTAAAAGTCTGTTATTTTTAAATTATTCCAGAAATTAAAATTCAGCCTTATACGTGGAAAATAAAACTAAATTACCAGTACGCCATTTAGAAATTACTCTACACTACTGCTACCCTCTTAATAACTTACTTGCTTATAAAAATGCTGTAATACAAAGAAACTAAAGTAAGTTTATTGGAAATATTTCTAAGAAACTTAGGAATTCAAATTTAGCCTGAGAATTTAATGAAAATTATATTGCTTTAATAATAAGGATGTTGAAAAAAAGCCTAGGTTTGCCAGTTCTGGTAGGGTCACCGCAACAGTGCATGGTACCAATTACTGTGGGCCTGTAACAGTCCATCAGAGCACCACACCAGGGTCTACGTGCCCTGCTCTTTACGAACAGTGTGTTGGATCTTTAACGTCCCACAGAATTTACATCTGCAAGGGTTGTGAGACGGGGTCTACGGTTTATCGTCCTTATCCGAGAAGACTGGAAATAAAAGTCTGACCGTCTGCAGATCAGTGCCATTAAGTATATGTTAGCATGTGTATGATATATAGATTTAGCCAGGGCTAGAAGCGAAGCTCTCGATAATATTTATAGTTTGCCAAAAAAAAAATTAAAAATTGTGTAATGCTAAGCGACGAAGACAACACCGATAGAGAAACAATTTCTGCTTTCCGTTTTCGTCTTTATTGACTCTTCAGTTGTCTCTGCTTCACAAGACGGGGGTGACTATGCGATTTCCCGCCGAAATAACCTCGAGTTGCATTTGGATTTCCATACCTGTTGATTGAGTTATTTTACATTGGTATGCCCGTGGTGCGGACGGACGGTCGGTCTGGCGCGCGGTCACGTGATTACCAAAATTTCTCGGGTGGATAGATTACCACATTTTCTTAGGTATGGGCCTACGATCACGCGCGCTTCGCGCGCACGTGAAGCTCCGCTCCACAGAATTTATACCTGCAAGGGTTGCGAGACGCGGCCTACGGTTTATCGTCCTTATCCGAGAAGACTAGAAGGTCTGACCGTTTGCAGACGTCATTACAAAGGCAGCACTTTCTCCTCAGTTATTTAAAGACCCTGAGTGTTGGTCCGCTTGGGGTTTGTAGCAGCAGCCTCCTGCTCGGCTAACCGGCACATATTCAGTTGAGCTAACGGGGTGGCGCTCAAAATAAAATTATTATGTAAAATTTAGAAAGTGCATATTCGCATGTGTAAAAATATAACCTAAATCAAGTGCTCCTGATTAAATGCTATCCTAACTAGTAAAATTAGATACATAGACCTAACGCACTAATTACCAAAAATAATCGTAAAAAATAAGACAGCACTTGTCATAAAATAAAGTACACTTATATTAGAATTAAAATAAAATTACGATATTGATTGTTAAAAGCTAAATATTGAAAAATAAGTTTTCAGCGATTCAGCACCCCTCACAGAGCTGTAGGAAACAGCATTGGGAGCTGCATTAACAAATGCTCTTCGTTGTTCTCAGATTTATTGGCAACCGGTTGTGATCAGTTAAAGATCATCGGTTTTGAATTTATGAGCCATTCATTACATGACTGACACGCCAATACTACAAAACACTTTGGTTGTATCTGTGCACCAAGTAACTTATAACACCTTAGTGCTTTTCTAAACTTTTTGATTATCGTATTAATTGAAAATTTAATCCGTAAGGAAGCGGAATTTAACTAAGTTTTTTAAGCGATTGATGACAAGAACCTGTAGTAACCACAACACGTTGTTGCTCATTCTTGATGCTTGTTAGCTCATTACCATCAATCTTGAGGTGAAAGGTACTAAGTGACCTTGTAACACTTACTCCCTTGGTTGACTGTACAGAGGATGACGACATATCGGGCAGGTACGACTAAAACAACAAGAGAGGAAAAGGTTATTCAGCTATCATTTTCCTCTATTAAATACATATTGCCAACATGGTACGAGAAGGGAGTACTTTCAAATCACCCCCCCCCCCCCCCCTCCCCCCTGGTAGAAAGGGATATGGCGTCGCTGGGTACCTGTCAACTACATGGCGCCAAAGTCTTCCGCCATTATTCACATCTCCCCAAGAAGTGAGAGCCGGGGACATTTGACTTCAATCCTAGACAGATAGCAGCTTAAAAGCTTCAAGGTGCATTTAGGATTATCCTATACTTAACTTATTGTAGATATCTGTAACAAAAAGTGAGTAAGTGAGTAAACGTGAAGACTTACATGCCGTTTTGAATCATAGCGATGGCGCATTCTCTGTGGACTTTGTGTGAACATGGTAATATCTGACAACCACTGAATGCATCCTTTCAGTCAAAAAAAAAAAACAATGTTTAATGCAATTTATTGTGACCAAGTCAAACAAGCACTAAAATAACTTTCTCTCATAATTAGCCTGAGGAAACAGCCGACATTTCGCGACGCCACTACTGGTTTTCCCTAGAAATGACGTGTGAGGAACGAGCGCAGAAATTCCATACATCAGCATGGTTAAAGAAAATTTTCCACGCTGCACGACCAATCGAACGCACTACCCAGATTGGACCAGTGACTGGTCATCAGTATGGAATTTCTGTGCTCCTTCCTCAGGCGTTGCAAAAGAACTAGGAGTCAGTGGCGTCGCGAAATGTCGCCACTGTTTTCTCAGGCGATCTCATTTAAACTCACCTCCAAGCAAATGCAACATTCATCGTGACCTGAATCTGGTCGACACTTGTGATTTCCCTCAAGGCGTTTGTCTAAGCACACATTACAAACTTCACAATGGAATGATTTGTCCTGATGAATCCTTGATTGAAACAAAATGGGTAAAAATTGGTTAAGTCATATGGTTCTGATTTAATTTACGCCTAAACGAAAGATGCTCTCTCCCAGAAAAGAAAAGTTAGGAAATCTCCCGCTGGAAATTAACATTATTACCAGCAACATTCAGGAAGTTCGCAACATATTTTCAAATGTACTTAAAAACAATGAGGTTATTAATAGTAAAAACCTGAAAGGACCCAATTAATAGTTATTTCCATTATATAATGAAGCGTGGGAAAATGTTCTTGTCCTGAAAAAGGAAGAGTTAGATTCTTTATTATTCTTCCCCCTTTAAATGGCTGAGTTTTCCGCGTACTTGCTGCATTTCTAATAACGGTTTTCGTTTGGGAGGAACGTCCATTTTGACGGATTTAAAAATTTTTCGGTGTAAACACGGCCAAATCTATAGTACATGTAGGTAGAAAATATCAGGTATTCAATTAATTCAATCAATCGTATCGCAGTGATACTGATGTTGGTTAGGAAACCATAGATGAATTCGAACTCAATTGATACACCGAATTTGTCCTTCTTGGGTGAAAATTCGTATACTGGAGGTAGGATGTCAAATTTCGGTGTCTCCTGAGGGTATATAACTGCCTTTGTAATAAAGATTTCAATATTTTGAAGGTATGACAATTCTTTCTCAATAACTAATTATCATAATTTTGGAAAGAAAAAAATAATGTTTAACCTACCTGCAAATTCCACATTTATCGCAGTGGTATGGACTCTTGTCAATACTAGTAAAATGCTTGCAGATGGCACAGAAATAAGCAGACATTTTCCCTCCACATTTACGACAATGAGCACTGTCTTCGCCAATCTGTGAAAATACAGTTGTAAAACGTTTCACTTCTCAACACTTGATTCATTCTAAGGATTACTCTGGCAGCTTAGGGCCAAAAAAATAAGACTAAATAAACGGAAATGTCTGTCAAAAGGAAATAAGACTCGCAAGTATTGCTTTTACTTTCGCACAAGTACTTAAACGGTGCTGATCTCCTTAATTCAGGTACCCTCGTCGAAACCCATGGGATCTCTATTGAAGAGAAATAAGCTCTTGACAACAGACAGCAAGAGTTACAAAACAATCAAAAAAAGAGCAAGAAGCATTGCAAACTCGCTTCTTCAGTATTCTGTGTGTGCATTATTAACTTGAGTGTCCTGTAGTAAGTGTTGAGACTGTTGCTAAGGCAACATGCCTTTTTTTTCTCCAATCGACTGAAGCCACAAAAGAATTTGGAAAATTAAGAATGAATTTTCGCCAGCATAAGGTACAGTCAAATCCCTGGGGGAGGAAAGCCCTTATATGTTCTCTAAAGTCAACCCACTTTATATGGACACCCCGTGAATACGAACACTTTCTATGGCCCAATCAGTGTCCGTATTAACGGCCTTTGACTGTGCTGTCTCCTTGACTGCTGATTGACAAATAGGCCGCGCACATTCCCCACAGTTAGTTTTAAAGTGCAATGTTCAAAAAGATTACCTCCTGTTCTTCCTGACAGTGAGAACATTTCAGATGAGTGGCATGACAAGCTTTAGCCTCTTCATTGTCACAAGCTTTCGAGATGTTATGACAGCGATGGCATGGATAGAATTGAGTGCAACAAGGGAATCGCACTCTGCAGTGCCGCTGATAATGTTCACATAACCACTGCGAACGTGCGTTGATGGCCTCTTGTTGTTGTGGCCAGTTTTCAGCCTCTCGCAACTCTCTTTCTTCCTTCTCTCTCCTTTCTTTGGCCCTCTGTTCTCTGATCAACTGTTCTTTTCTTTCTATCTCCCTTCCAAACTGTTCACGTTCCTCCCTCTCTCGCAGTACTCTTTCAACAAGAGCGGAAGCTTCTGCAACACGCCGTTCCAGAGCAAGCAATGAGTTGTCTGAGGACTCGACTGAATCTGTACCAAAGTCTCTGTTGTTCCACACAGAACTTCTGTAGCTGTCTGCATCACCATAACGGGGTTCAAGAAAAGATGTATCGTGAGTAGATCCCTGTGCCAAACAAGCATCTTCAAAAGTTGTCGTGCATCCACTGGGACGGACCACTGAAACCCTACCAGGTATTGACCAGTTCTGCTGTGTTGTGTTCGTGGGTTCCGAATGAGAAGCTGAACACGAACCTGGTGAAACAGACTGATCCTGCACAAGCTCATGGTGATTGTTTCTTGCGAGCACAAGGATATTTTCGACAAAACCACTCTGAAATGTATGGCTGTTTACTGCACTACTAGTACTTTTTGATGAGCAGTTCCTGAATCTTGAAAAGTTACCCTCTCCAAAGTGGCTGTCGAAAGGTCCACCTTGTGCATCTGCATCAGTCGTGTTATCATAAAGGTGTTCATAAGAGAAATTACCCTCTGTGCGTCCTCTGTCAAACTCCTCACTCAATGCAGACAAGAATGGGTTCTCTTTTCTTCCGTGTGGATCAGTCTCAGCTGGAAATGACAAACCTCCACAGTATGTCGTAGCTCGGTTTGGGTCAGGTGCATAACCATCAACATAGGAAGTGCCGTGCGAATTCTCGCTGAAAACGGGACTTGGTGTACCGGTACTTTGATAAAGACTGTCTTGAAGGGCCTTGTCTTGGGTGTGTCTTGCCAGGAAATTAGCAGCCAAGCCATCTGTTGCAGAGACGAGAGGCTCCCTTGGTCTTTCTGCCACCAGCGAATGTTGAGGTTGTTTAGGTCTAGCGCCAAGACGATCCCAGTTTGTTTCACAGGACGACGGTCTATTACCTACGCTTACAGCATCACCAACTGAATCAACAGCTCTTTTGACCCTTTCTTCTCCATTGGCAGCATGTGGTCCTGACATTTCAACATTTTCTTCTTTCCAATCCACGCCCTTACCTACTGAAGGCTTAGGATTCTCCTCAAAGCAAGTTAGGTCGTGGCTGTTGTCACATGAGATTTTGCTGCCCTGAAAAACGGAATCAAAAGTGTAATATCAACATTGTAAGCTATTTCATTGATGACCTTAGGTTTGTGAAAGGTGCTGATAATAGCTAACTGACTGTTTGAACTTACAGCTACGCATTGACTGGAATTTGATGAGACGCTAGCATCAAAAGGCTTGGATGTCCAAGGGTAATCGTTGGCAATAACAGCCCCCTGAGACGATGGGAGATGACAATCTACGTTCATACTCGATTCTGGGGGGACGTCGTCGGTTTTTTCTGAACTTTGGTTGCAAGGTAGTAGTGTACACTGTTTGTGTTCGTGATCTGCTCTCTCTTCACTTGATGTTGTATCGTTTTCTTGAAAGAGTTCAGCATTGCTTGAGGAGTGAAGTGAAGTCCCATAAAAGATAAGCCCATTCCGGTCCTGTCTGTTTAGATGATCGTCTACATGTTTGTCTTGTAAAGCAACAGAATCATCGGGAGCTGAACCTGGAGCTTGCTCCTGTGGTTCAGTTTTTCTTCCTGACAAACTCCTTACTTGGGAATGCTTCGATGCTTTGAGAGAAATAAACACATAAGCTTACGTTACTCCTTCTGGGAATGGAAGGCAGTTTCTTCACATCGAAACTTACTAAAAAATTCATTTCGATCAAGCCAGGTTTGAGTCAACTCTAGCATGGAGGACACTTTTCTTCTGGGGACTGCTTGTAACCTTTAGCACGTACAATACGGTACCGGAAGCTATGTCACAAATAACAATGATAAAACGACGAAAATATAACATAATGGAGGTCGAAGAGTATTAAAAAACAATGCCCTAAATCCTTATTTTGTGTCTCCTTTCAGATCAAGCAGTAGATATTCTGCCCACTGCAACGTATGAGCTGCGTCAGCTAGTAAACATGCTATATTGAAGCTTTTACTGTGCCTCAAAAGTTCATCTTAAAATGTTTTATTTTTTAAAACAAAAACTAATAGAGAAGAAAACAACAATAAGACCCTGGAACCTCAACATCAACTCCAATTTGTGATACAAGATCAAAACGATTAATTCCTCCGAGTAGCTTCCCAAAGTTAAATAAAGTTAATTGAAATTTAACACAGGTAACGAAAAGGAGCGCTGTTGCGAGCTGTCGGTCAGCGGTCAGCCTTTCTTGCATCAGCTTCATGGAATTACTTGGAAAGGATGATTAGCGGCTTACCCTCATTCATAACAGACAAAGTAGAGTCTGGTGGATTATTGAATGAACATGATCCATCATAATATGTTGTGGCTTCTCCTGACACAAGATGGCCCAGTAACTCATTTCTTCTGCCCGACACTGCTGACAAACGCTTTTCTTTCTCTTCAAAGAACAGGTATTTTCCTAGATCAGCTTGGAGCTTATGGTTTTCCCCTTCACAGAGCTCCAGTTTCTCCTCTAGCCACTTTATCTTTTGTTGCAATTTGTGGCAGATGTTCTGAGAAGCTGCCAACTCATTTTCCAAGTTTGCCACGACAGGCCCAAAACAATCCTCAGTCTGGGTTCCAGTGACAGTCTTCTCCGAATTTGTCAAAGGTGATAGCCCTAGAACACTTTGACGACATGCATCGGAACAGTCCTTTAGCTGGTTTTGTTGCCCAGACAAATCTTCATCCCAAGCATTACACTGGACTTCACAGTGATTCCCAAGACTTGACTCAAAATTGCTTGCATCAATATCCTGAGGATTACAGCTGGGATCGACAGCCCCATTAAATTTTTCTTTTTCACTGTCTCCAGGGATGGATGATTGTATTGACTGCAAATACTCTCTTTGGACGTCCTGGTTCTTAACAAAGCCAAACGAACATTCGCTCGTAGTTAAACCCTCTACACGATTTGGCGGGTAGCATTCATCAGGTGAAGGCTTTTCTGGTAACTTTTCATAAAGACATGCGATTTCACTAGACGATGGGCACCTTGGAGGACACAGGGGTACGTCTACATCAGTATGAAACTCTTCGAAGAGATTACTAACAATGTGGACTTCTTCATCTTCCTCATTCTTTTGAAAAAAAAAAAAAAAAAAAAAAGTAAAATTTGTTCGTTAATTAGTTGAATGTAATATAGAGCTTTAGATTTGAGGATAAAGACGAGTACGAGTACTGGATTTAACTTTAAGTTTTCCCCGTATTCTCGAAAAATATTCAACCCGGAAAGCTTCACAGTACTATTTTTCGTCTGAAAAATTAGTGAGGTTATCTTTATTGGAGCAGGTTAAGCCCTCTCCCAGTCACAATATGATTAAACTTTCTAAACTTTGATAACTTGTTCCCGCCACTACGACACTCTCTCTAAAACTTGAAGTAGAATGATGACTACTATCACGTCTTCTCGCCAAAAAGACGCTGGTTTACGCGCGCGAGCACTACTTAATTTTGCCGGAGAAAGTCTCGTTCTGGTAGTCGTCCTCGTCTCAGAATCGAAAGCCCTCTAATAAAACGGCTTCATACTATGCACGTTCGACCATCCATGAAAAACCTCTTACACACTGAGTAAAGCCAAGTAAAGGTTAACCCCATTATAGAGAGAAATTTGAGGTAATTCAAAAAAAGGATTATGAAGAATGAAGAATAGAATGAAGAATTTAAACTCCCAAACAAGCGGCGATTTTACATCAGTAGTATAGCAGAGAAAAAGCAAAGCTATTAAAACATGACGTTTCAGCGATGACATGTCACCATTATAAAATGCAAATGAAACAGACTATGAACCGAAATACATGTCAAGGAAACGAAGGTGTGAAACACAACATTAAATTTGAAGGACAAAACAATGAAATAATTAAGTGAAACGTTTTGCTGGAATAGAGTTGGCTCAAAAATGAGGCACTCAAATTTTCCTCAGCATTTCTGAAGGATCTTAAAACGGTTCATTAGTCTGTTTCATTTGCGTTTGATAAAGGTGACATGTCGTCACCGAAACGCCATGTTTTAATAGCGTTGCTTTTTATTTTTAAATGTTTTACAAAATCTATCGTTATCAGTAGTATAGCGAACACCGAATTATCCGTCATCTAGACATGAGTCTCCTAAAGGATCGATGGCGCCTCAATAAATGTAATCACGTTACCTCATCGGAGGAATAAACAACCACTGATCGCGTCAGAGGGGTCATGAGTGTGACTGAGCCACTTGTGCTTATTTTAATACAGTATGGTGAAGGTAAACTTGCTTTCGTAAAGAGGTTTTCAAATCTGACCGGCTCTATATCAGTTACCATAATAAACTCGACCAGTTGCAGTTTAGCTATTTACATGCTTTTTTTCCACAACGTGGACAAGGTTGAGTTTTGACGGAATTGTTTAGAGCTCTCTCTGAGGTCTCGGATAAGACAACTCCGCTCGCTGCCTTTACACTTGCCGTTTTTGCCATTAAATTGCTCACAGAAGGCTACAATATACACCAAACAACACGTTCTTTCGCTATTTCTTGAAATCTGGAATATAATCTATCACGAGTTACCGTTTGATTGACATAATGCAGTCTAGTTCTTGTTTTTTTCTATAGTGTGACCTTGACCAATGTCATTGGCACACAGAAAATTGACTGTTGTCATATTCTGTTGCGGTTGACCAACAAGTCTTTTTAAAACTAGTTTTACTATTGTCTACTTTATTTTTTTGGTTGGATGCTGACAGTTCATGGTGCTGCTTCGTTGATTCTTGTTACAGAAACACTTCATAACGAGAAGAGAGAAGAAAAAAGGAAACATTCGGTTTCCTGCTCCGCCTTCTCTTCCTACTCCTTCATGGACAATTCTATTGTCGTCCTGTTCCTCCTCAACGTGACTCTCACCACCCAAAGATATAAGTCAGTGTCAAAATGTCTAGGAAAGGGGCATCAGATATATCTCCTGTACTCTCGAGATTGTCAAAGGAGCAAGAAAACCAAAGTTACTGTGTACCAGTAATAATTTTTCAAACACTGTCACAGGTCACCACTGCAAGTGAATCTTAACCGTATACACAGGGTAGTCATTCAGCAGGATCATAAATCTAGGGATTAAATTCAGGTTAAGGTCAAGCAACTTACCGAGGGCATCATACACAAATGTTGACTAAGAACCTTCTCGAGGTGATGACCCCAAGAATGCTAAAGAATGCTTCAGCTGGATCCCCCAAATAGCTGACCCTTCACTGCTCAGACGTCGGCGTAATTGAGTGTTCAAATAGGTCAAAGTCCAGCAGAAACTTACGGCAAAACGATTTACCTAGAATCTGTTCCTAGTCAGAACATTATGTGTCAGCAATTGATCAATTTCTAAAACAAAAAAGGCTAATGATGTTGTTTACCATGTGATTTTTTCCTCGTGCCTAACTGGAGATTTGGAAACAAAAACCTAAACATTTAATAGTATTAAGGTGAAGAGGGATTCAAAGATTACCTGGTCTTGCAATACGTCTTCAGTTGATAATATCCTTAAGCCTGAACCTTGTCTTTTGCTTCTTGGAAGAAGAATTGAATTGGGAGTTCCCAGTCTCAATTGTAAGTTGAATTGGTCACTGTGTAACACCAAGATACAGAAACTCGTTTTTGAAGATTCTGCGGAACCATTACCACTGCTAACAACTTTACAATGATGCCATGAAGACTGTTCATTTACTTTGAATCTGAAGGTTCCGTTTTCTGGAATAGCTCCTTTTGAAAAATAAACGCTGTTTAAATCTGTGCCTTTTGAGCCACAACATTTTAAAATATAGGCGATATTTCCAGTGACAACAGATACAGGGGAACTGTTTCTGGAATTTTCTGTAAAGAAGGAAGTTGCTTTCTGTAAAGGAGAAACACTATTAAAAACGCGTCCAGGAGGTTTTACAGATCTCACAGAGCACGTCCAGAAGGGTACGTTATCACTGTTGTAAATGACGTCTTTTATTTCTCGAAATCTATCAGGAATCCTCAGACACAAAATGGAATATGAAATCCTTGAAGATAAAGGCAAGAACAGCCCAGAATTGCGGCCTTTAGGTGATTTACCAGTTAACGGATCGTATTTTTTCACTGGACTACAATGTAAAGGTTTCTTTAAGAGTATACGTCTGTCAGACATAGGTATCCCGAGGAAACGATAATACAGTGAGTCAGCCAAAAAAATATACCAAAACTCGACGTCAGGATTACTTAGCCCAGGAATAAGAACGATTCCAACGCTTTTCTTTGTTTTGGAAAAAGAATTAAGTTCTAGACACCCATCTGAAGGGTGCAAAGTGCCATTTTGAAACTTCCTAATCATCCCGAAATACTGCGTACCGCTTTCTTCTGACATGGTGCAGCCAGTCAATAATTTCCTTGCAGATCCTGTGTGCGAATACAAAGGACAAGTTCACAATATCAGCAAAGTGAACAGAATAAGGAAATTTTTAGTTTCAGTTAATTTATTTGCCAGAAAAAAATCACTCCTTCAATACGTTGCATAACATGAGAAAAAAGGTTGAAGGTTAAATATGACGCAAATAACATAAAAGGATAAGAATATTCTTCTGGCGAGGAAGCTCAAAAGGAAACCATGGGGGCTTATTACTGTGAGCTTCCTTCCTAACGTAAGTGTTGAGGCCAATCCTCAACAAGAGAACATTTTTTTTGTTTTCCTAGTCCGTTCCATTCCGTTTTTGTAATTTATTCTCCCAGCATGCTTAGTGAGCGCGTCTCAGTGTCGTCGTGGAGCGAGAAAGAAACCATGTGCTTTGTAACGCGCTAGTCGCCGGGAGTTTCTCATCGTATGGTGAGTCTTAGGAGCTCGTTTATTTCCAAATCCCTTTCCAGCAGTGATTAAGTATTTGTTTTGTAGGTTTTTACTTGCGAGGTGAAGCTTGTTAGCCAAAGATGAGACTCCAAATTCGATCCTGTTGTGTTGTTGAGGAAATATGCTGAGTGTGCAACTCTCGATTATTAAACTTGTGTTCAGGGACCCTTGTGTTGTGAAAGCGCGTTTTTGTCCCCTGGACATCTTCGTAAAAACCATACGAGCATCTTGCCTGTGATTACTGGACGTCCAAAGTCTTAACTGTGAAAATATTTGTGCGTGTGAATCGAAGTGACATCAAAGGTCATGACTCAACGAGGAATTCTACTCCAGCGTTTGGAGGTGTTGGACAGATCTCGAAGGGGATATTTGTCTAATATTACGAAATTGTGTCATCAACTGGATGAAAATCTCGGAGACTTCAGCAACGTCGTCAAGATACGAACCGTGCAAACTAGCCTTAATTCCGCGTGGGAGCAGTATTGTGTTTGTGTTGAGAAATACGGTGATTTACTCGATACCAGCTGTGAAAGGTACCAAAGAGTCTTGAGCGACCGTGCGGTTCAGCAGTCAAGGATACAGGGATACAATGAGAGAATAGATCAGTTTATTGCCAGTGCCGCTGCCTTTTATAATAGCCAAGTGTTAGAAGAAGTGAAATCAATCAAGGAGTGTACCCCTCCAGGATCTGTGAAATCCAATGGTAGTCGTGTCTCAAAATCAAGTGTGTGTAGCTCCAGGTCCCAAAGGGCAAAAATAGAAGCAGCGAAGGCCCTACTTATGCAGCAACAAGCTGAAGAAAGGAGTAAGAAGCTAGTAGAACTGGAGGTAAAAAGAGTCGAAATGGAGATAAAACGAACAGAATTAGAATTGCAACACCGATTAGAACTCACCAAATTGGAAGCAGAAAGGGAAGTTATGGCTGCTAGAGATCAAGTGGAGCTAGCTAATTTAGAGGCTTTGTTAGCAGAACAGGAAATGGAGGGTATCAAATGGTCTCCAAATCTGGACCTACAGGACTCAAAGCCTCAATCCTCAAGGGTTGGTGCCAATGATGTACCAGTAACCAAGCCATCTCACACATCAACACCAGGATTAGTAAATGCCCAGACTTGTGTGAGTTTTAGAACCCCTACT